CAGGGTAGGGTTAGGGTTAGAAAAACGAGGTGTCCTGGAGCGATTCCGATGGTTGGAATGTGCTTCGAATGGGCAGAAATGATGAGCTGGGCAGAAAAAGCTACTCAAGAAGGGCTTTTTCAAAATCACCCTCTTTTCAAGGGAACTTTACCCCCATATTAGGGTTAGGGGTCTGCACCAGGGTAGGGTTAGGGTTAGAAAAACGAGGTGTCCTGGAGCGATTCTGATAGTTGGAATGTGTTTAGAACGGGCAGAAAGGATGAGCTGCGCAGAAAAACCTACTCAAGGAGGGCTTTTTCAAAATCACCCTCTTTTCAAGGGAACTTTACCCCCATATTAGGGTTAGGGGTCTGCACCAGGGTAGGGTTAGGGTTAGAAAAAGGAGGTGTCCTGGACTGATTCCGATGGTTGGAATGTGTTTAGAGTGGGCAGAAAGGATGAGCTGCGCAGAAAATCCTACTCAAGGAGGGCTTTTTCAAAATCGCCCTCTTTTCAATGGAACTGTAGCCCCATATTAGGGTTAGGGGTCTGCACCAGGGTAGGGTTAGGGTTAGAAAAACGAGGGGTCCTGGAGCGATTCTGATGGTTGGAATGTGTTTAGAGTGGGCAGAAAAGTTGAGCTGCGCAGAAAAACCTACTCAAGGAGGGCTTTTTCAAAATCGCCCTCTTCAATGGAACTGTAGCCCCATATTAGGGTTAGGGGTCTGCACCAGGTTAGTCACAAGGGCAACAGTCAAAATCTCTTCTTGCTGGTATCAAAGTGCAGGACACGGAATAACCCAGTCAAGTTGCGACAGCCCAGATTCAGGCTGGGCATCGGGAGAAGCTTCCTCACGGTCAGAGCAATAGGGCAGTGGGACCAGCTGCCTGGAGCGGTGGGGGGCTCTTCCACCCTGGAGCCACTCAAAAAGGAACTGGGCAGCCTCTGAGTGGGGTGGTGTGACGTGGTGTCCTGCAGCAGCAGGGGGGTTGACCTGATGGCCTTCAGGGCCCCTTCCAACTCTGCTGTTCTATGATTTCATGGCCGGGCGGACCCAGCTGCTCTGGTCTGGGCCGGTGCAGCGGACCAGCCCGCACTCTCAATTCCTGGCAGCGCGGTCCCACCGGGGTCCCGAATGCAGGAGTAGCGCCTCCCTTGAACGGCTTGGAGGGGGGCATCCCATCCCGGAACCCCCCCAGAGCCGCTTCTCACCAGCCACAGGGATTCTGCAGACCGGCGGCCTCTTTTTGACAGAAGGAAAAAAGGGTGCGTTGTTCTACAGGAATGGAAGACAGAAAACATGGGAAACAGAACGACCAGGGGCGTCTCCCTCCATCGGCGAAAGCGTGAAAACAGCCCTCGACGGGAAGCCACTTCCGTGGCCGTGGGTGAGGAGACTTGCATGTTTCGGCAAGTGCAACCTCACACCTCTCTGAATCTGTGTAAGATCCAGTTCCATCCACAGGCTGATGGTGGAACAAAAGGTTCCCGACCGTCCGGGGAAGACAGAGGGGGCGATTTCGCAGCGGTTGTGCATTTCTGATCCCTGGGAACCTGCCTCTCACCGAGACCTCGTTTCTCGGGTGGCACGCGAGGAAAGCCCCCTCTAGGTTGTGCTAAGGCGATGTTCTCAAACGCAGGCTTGAACCCGGAACCAGGCGGGACGCGTGGCCCGTCCTCCCATCACAGTGATTTCTGCCACATGTGCAGGGGAAGCAAGATTTGAGGCCGTGCATTTAAAAAAAGAGCAAAGGAAGGAAAATTACAGGCCGGGGGACCGAGCGCGGCTGGAAGGGTGATGGCGAGGCGACGCGGAACGGCAGCTGCGAGAGACGGCCGCCCTTGCGCCTCCTGTGCCACCACGGCTGGTGCGCCGCCGGCTCCCTCCCGGCCGAAGCGAATGCGTGTTTGGGCCAAGGCCCCTCCGTGTGG